CTAACGCTAGTCAACAGACACTGCGTTCCCTCTATTGGATTCAATTGACCATGCTGAAACTTTTTCAGAACCTGTTTTTCCAGAATCCAGCCTTGGGACAGCAAAAGGGTATTTTTGCACTGAACACGGAAAGCATACTTTCACAGTCATGTGTCCAAACAAGAGAAAAGAACCAAATTTTGACCCAGTCCTTCAGCAGGTCCAGTGAGCTGCAGTCTGAGCTCATGCACCAAATGACGCAAACTAGCTATCCCATCTATAAAAGGGGTGCAGCCCGAGGCAAATGCAAACAAGAGACTTTCAAAAAGCATGCTGGCAGTACAGCTGATCACGCAGAATACTTTAAAAGGATTAAGTCTGTTGCCTTTACAGCCGCTTGCTGTTTATATTTATGGTCTGTTAGTTCCGGTCTAATCTATCCAGGGCCAAAGTGTGTTCAGAGGAAAGGACAAGCGGGGAGACACCCTGGAGGCATACAAAATCCGATGATATCTGAGCAGGAAGTACAAGCGGGGAGAAAACTTACCAGTTGGTTGTTTTCATAGACATTTTCTTTGTGAAGAGCGTTGAAGTTTCTGAAAGAAAAGGAAAGAGAAAGATTTGGGGTTTTTTTGCCAATCAAAATGGACCAGGCAATGTCACTCCTTCGCTAGACATTCTCAGTCCCTCTCTCCACTTTAAATCCTTGCCTTTTGAAAGATAAAATTAACACTGCTGTTAGCTGCTATTATTAAAATCCCCATAATGCCCCTACTCCTGGAATAACACTTTGTGGACGTGTCCTTTCAGGGGCTTCAATGAGGCTGTTGAACCCAAATAATATAATAATAATAATGGGAAATGGAGTTACACACATCAGGTTCTCCAAGATTCATCCTAAAATGTTGCCTACCAAGACTGCTGTCCACGCAAATGCACTTCTGCCACACTAGGTTCGTGCCCACATGTGTCCCATTTTTCATCTGTGAAATGTTGGAGAGTATCCTCCAAAGGATAAGAAGAAAACTCAATGGAGAAAATGTGGGGCTGGAGAAGAGTGCTGAGGATCCCATGGACGGCCAAAAGGACAAAACAATGGGTCCTAGGGCAGATCGAGCCAGAGATATTCCTAGAAGCCAAGATGATCGAACTGAGTCCGTTGTACTTTGGCCACATCATGAGAAGGCATGAATCACTGGAAAAGGCAATAATGCTAGGAAAGATAGAAAGTAGTAGAAAGAGAGGAAGACTGCGTGCCAGACGGATGGACTATATTAGGATATGAATTTGCAGGACCCAAGCAAAGCAGTGGAGGATAGGGGGTCTTGGAGATGTCTCATCCAAGGGGTGGCCATGAGTTGGGATTGACTCGAGTGATTGACAACAACAATCTTCTAAAGGCACCAGATCCCATTTGATCTTGGAAGCTAAGCAGGGTCAGCTCTGGTTAGTACTTGCACGAGAAACCACCAATGAATCCTAGGTGTTGTAGGCTATATTTCAGAGGAAGGAACAGGCCAAACTACCTCTGAGTCTTCCTTGCCTAAGAAAACCCCATGATATCCATCAGGTTGGCATAAGTCGACAGGCGACTTGAAGGCACATAGGACAAACCCATAGGACAAACAGTCATGTATCCCAAGGTCTGGGACGGTCCGTGGAGGGGCGGAGGGTCCACATTGGAAGGCACTGGACCCTATGAGCTCACAGGCCTTTTCCACTGAGGCTTGAGGGAAGTGTGACTCAGCCATGAATGAGCAAGAGCTTGCCGAGACACGTTTCCTCCAAGACGTCTCCATTGGGCAAGAGGGAGATGCCGCTATACGGAGCCAAGAAAGAATCCAACCTTTGCTCTGGACTTCCCCAGAACAAGACTTGAAAGCAAATTATCAGCAGCTGCTGCTTAAAAATAATCCTCCTGAAAGTCATTTAGAAGCGCGGCTCTTGTTTTCTTTTTCGTTTTCTTATCCTAAGCATTGGCACCTTTATGACTGGGCTGGCCTTTCACGTCAACAGCAACCTTGTCCATAAAAACTGAAACCTAGCTGGGACACGCACAGCCCAGCAACACCTGAAATGGCAAAAGTGATGGAAGAGGAAAGCTGCAGCAGTTTGCTTTTGCCTGAGATTCAAAGATTCAAAGTTCTTTATTACGACCAATCGGTCAGCACACTTTTGCCTGAGCTTCCTGGGATTTGCCTGGGATTCTGTCCACTCCTCTCCTTTCTTTCTCTATTCTGAATTTACTGAGTGCAAACTTCTTTTGCACTTTGAACTCAGGCTGCTGCCACACGGCACAAATAAAGCAGCTTAACACCACTTTTAACTTCCATGGCTATGGAATCTGGGCTTTGTAGTTTGGTGGGGCACCAGAGCTCTCTGAGAGGGGAGGCTAAATAGCTCACACAACTACAAGTCCCAGAACTCCATATCATTGAGCCATGGCAGTTAAAGTGGTGTCAAACTGCTTCATTCCTGCAGTGTAGACACACCCTTGGCCTGCAGCCATTGAAGTAATTGCTGAGGGCAATGGCATAAAATGAAAGTATGCATGTGCATGATTTTAAAATCTTGCCGTTTTAAAAAGTGGATCAACCTGTTGTGTTTCAATTTGTTTTAATGGTTACTAAGCCAGCATGGCGCAGTGGGTTGAGTGTTGGACTATGACTCTGGAGACCAGGATCTGATTCCCAGCTCGGCC